GCCTGCCATAACACAAGAGAACGGTCCTGGACCAGGAGAAAGGACACCTCCGCAAAGGGCTAGGGTGCAGGAGCTCCAGGGTGGATCACCTGTGCAGAAAAGTGGATGGATGGGATGTGGGCAGGTAGTGTGGAATGTAGGACATCCACCGGTCCTTATCAAAAGTACGCTCGAAATGAGTCGTTCACTTATTATCTTATCCGTAGTGTTCGATAGCCCAAAGAACTGCTCTCTAGTACTACGGATAAGATAGCAATGGAGTGCCCCCCCCCTGGAACTGGAGTTTCACCCGAAAACTCTCACTCTTCCCTATGGGCTCACTTCGAGACTGTAATTGGCCCCGGATATAATTGAGGATAAAGAGTGTGCCATCCAACCCCTCTACCGCCAAGACTGCAGCGCTGCGCGCGGACCCATTGGATCGTGCCGCCACCCCCCCCCCCCTTTCGAAACACATCGAGGCTAATAATTTCACCAAAATCCGTCTATGAGTTGTGTTTTCATGCTTCTTTTCCAACGATACCCAATAGTGATGCAGTTTCTCTTATCGAAAGGGCGCAGATGAACAGAAAATGACTCACCGCTACCGAGATACCTTTCACTTTCTGAGAAATGTAAAAAAAACCCTTATCATCACATTCACCAATTAAAACTTTATTTTAAGAACTCCACATAATCGATATGGGGCTATGAGAGGAGCGTGAGATGGTAGCATAAGGTGAAGTACAGTTGTGATAAGAAGGTCTCGAATAGAAACTCCCTTATCACTACTTCAACCAATTGCAAATTAATAATTAAAATAAATGATAACGGAGTCGATGAGCATAGTTTCATGGGAGCAATTTTAGAAAATCGATTCAATCAATGACCATTCTTGCCAGATGGTTTGGCTGCCGTTAGACTTGGCGAACTTTTCGATTTGGAAACTCTTGCGGCAGGATTTCCTGGATGAGCTGCTTGTTTCTGAAGGTAGCGGATAATTATCAGCCTTTATCAGAAAACCAGTAAGTATCGATTGATCGGTAGGAGTCGGTGACGGTTATTTCATCGTAGGATCATACGTTGATATTGTAAGCAGGTCTACCGTCCTTGGTCCAATTCCCGGAACTGTTACGCCTCCTTCTTTGAGGCGGGCCCGATACGACCCCTCACATCACAATTAGCCTTAGGGGAGTCCCTCAAATATGATCCCCTTCTTCATCCCTGATCACTAACCTCATCACCATACCTGTTTCTATAGCATTCGATTTGAGACTAGTCGACAGTCGACACAGCCCAACTCCGCCCACTTTTCCCCCACATAACGGTCAGGTTTAGAGGTTAATATCTCTAGGAAACGACAAAGCTCTGA